GTTTCCTGGCACCAAGAAAAGAAAGAGGCGGCGCAATCTCGCTAAGTTGGCCCAGTTAGTGCCAGGGGAGGACAAACCTATGAGTGAGATGAAGTTTCACAAAAAGGTTGGAAAGCTTGGTGTGTTGGATAAGAAGACCATCAAAACGATCAATAAGATGAAGACCCTCAAGAGAAAAAATATTTTAAATCAGATCTTGTCCTGTTCCAGCAGTGTGGCCCTAAAGGCCAAAGCTCCCCCAGAGACCAGTCCTGGGGCAGCTTCAATTGAAAGCAAATTGGGCAAGCAGATCAATGTCAGCAAGAGAGGAACCATCTACATCGGCAAGAAGAGGGGCAGGAAGCCAAGAACAGAGCTGCCTCCCCCATCCGAAGAACCCAAAACAGCCATCAAGCACTCCAGGCCTGTTTCTAGCCAGCCGGATGTTCCAGCCGTGCCTTCCAACTTTCAGTCACTTGTGGCTTCTTCACCAGCAGCTATGCACCCCCTTTCAACACAGTTAGGTGGGTCCAATGGCAACCTGAGCCCCGCCAGCACTGAAACCAATTTTTCAGAATTGAAAACTATGCCAAACCTCCAGCCCATCAGTGCTCTTCCAACCAAAACCCAGAAGGGAATACACAGTGGAACCTGGAAGCTGTCTCCACCCAGGCTGATGGCCAATTCTCCTTCACACCTTTGTGAGATTAGCTCACTGAAGGAGATAACCTTGTCCCCTGTGAGTGAGTCCCACAGTGAGGAGACCATCCCGAGCGACAGTGGCATCGGGACAGACAACAACAGCACCTCTGACCAAGCAGAGAAGAGTTCAGAGTCCCGACGGAGGTACTCTTTTGACTTCTGTGCCCTGGACAACCCGGAGGCCATTCCATCTGACACCAGCACAAAGAACCGGCACGGCCACCGGCAGAAGCATCTCATAGTGGACACGTTCCTGGCCCATGAAAGCCTCAAGAAGCCAAAGCACAAGAGGAAAAGAAAAAGCCTGCAGAACCGTGATGATCTCCAGTTTCTGGCTGAGCTGGAGGAGCTCATCACCAAATTTCAAGTGTTCAGGATCTCCCACCGGGGCTATACTTTTTACCACGAGAATCCGTACCCCAGCATCTTTAGGATCAACTTTGATCACTATTACCCGGTGCCATATATCCAGTATGACCCATTGCTCTATCTTCGTAGAACTTCAGATTTGAAGTCAAAGAAGAAGCGTGGTAGGCCTGCAAAAACCAATGACACCATGACAAAGGTGCCTTTTTTACAGGGGTTCAGCTACCCTATTCCCAGTGGAAGTTACTATGCACCCTATGGAATGCCTTACACATCAATGCCTATGATGAACCTTGGTTACTACGGTCAGTATCCAGCTCCTCTGTACCTATCGCACACACTTGGAGCAGCATCCCCATTCATGAGGCCAACAGTGCCACCACCTCAGTTCCACACAGGTTCCCATGTGAAGATGTCTGTGGCAACTAAACATAAAGCCAAGCATGGAGTACACTTGCAGGGAACTGTAGGCATGGGCCTTGGTGACATACAGCCATCCCTGAACCCTCCCAAGGTGGGCGGGGCCACTCTATCCAGCAGTAGGCTCCACAAGAGGAAACACAAACACAAGCATAAGCACAAGGAAGACCGAATCCTAGGGACCCACGACAATCTGAGTGGTCTCTTCGCAGGCAAAGCAGCAGGCTTCTCCAGCCACCTCCTGAGTGAGCGGCTGAGCAGTGCAGACAAAGAGCTCCCGTTGGTGAGTGAGAAGACCAAGCATAAGGAGAGACAGAAGCATCAGCATGGTGACACTGGCCACAAGGTTTCAAAGAACAACTTTGAGGTGGACACCCTGTCTACACTGTCACTTTCTGATACCCAGCACTGGACACAGGCTAAGGACAAAGGTGACTTGAGCAGTGAGCCTGTAGACTCGTGTGCTAAAAGGTACTCTGGTGGGGACAGCAGCAGCACAAGATCAGAGAGTCTGGATGTGTTCAGTGACATGAATCCTTCCAGTGACAAGTGGGACAGTGACGTGAGTGGGAGTAAGAGGAGGAGCTTTGAAGGCTTTGGGACATACAGGGAAAAGGACATCCAAGCCTTCAAGATGAACCGCAAGGAGAGAAGTTCTTATGAGTCCTCCATGTCTCCAGGTAAGACTACGTTTTTCTCTAGATTTGGGCTTCCCAGTTGTTTAACTCCTGCCCTTTGCAGTTTGGTTGCCAATCATGTTGGGCACATAGTGTTCACTGTTTTACAAAAGAGGAAGATGAATGCAAACAGGTCAAATGCATGTTTGAATTTGCTTTGTATTTCATATACTGTTTACATGGTTTCTGGCTGTCTTTCTGTTCTACTAAAGCCAATGCCTAGAAACAGAGACATCCCCAGTAACTCTCCAAGTGGCAGGCTTACATGCTACAATTTTATTTGTGTTCTTGTCATTTTGGTTTGGTTAAGGTTTGGTTTTCCAAGACAGGGTTCCTTGTAGCCCTGGCTGTCCTGGAACTCACTCTGTAGTCCAGGCTGGCCTAGAACTCAGATCTGCCTGCCTCTGCCTCCTGTGTGTTGGGATTAAAGGTGTGCATCACCACTGCCTGGTTTACAGTTTTACTTTTTCAGTATTATTAGAAATCCTGTTCTTACATTATAAGGTCCTGATTGCATGGTACAGTTTGCTAGTTGAGGTTCTAAAACTCAATAGACTGCCAGTGAAATCTCAAGAATGCCAAGGATAAAGAATGTCAGTGAGTGTATGTGACGTGCTGTCAGTAGAAGTCACCAATCTTAGGTGATAAATTTACCACAGAGTGATTAGAAGCTAATGATCAGAGACTCCTGGAGTCTAACCAATCATGAAGCCACAGTCCTAACCATGTTATCCATTCTTCACCCTGAGCATTGGACAAGCTGCCAGTCAGGACCCCAAAGTGAAGCCTTGACTGCATTCACAATCTTCTTCCATGCACTAAAGGGAATAGGCTTGGAGAAAGGGATTTTGTTCCTCCTTTATAATCAGAACTGTATCTCTGTGATTTTTAGCACACCCACTAAACTGGGTTTTTTGCTTGATGATATCTAAATGAATATGTTCATTGATACCAGAAAAATCTCACTCCCTGTCAGTTACTGGCAGAATTTCTTTGCTAACCTCCCGGTCCACACAAATCCTTTCCTGCCATGGAGTTTTACTATTTGGCAAACACATCCTTCTATCTCTGTCCATATAGTACATAAATGCTAAGACTCTAAAGAGTACAGAATTATTTGGAAAAAAGGAGACATTCCTTTAATGAGATTTGAAAGAAATTAAAAGAATATCTCTCAGAGAGTATTCTCTTGTCCCCAAATGGTGTGAAACACTCTGGCCCAACCCTGGTTTTAAAGGTCTCATTGCACACTCTGAAGATGTGGATATAAAATATATTATCTCTGTTCATGTTGCATGATCCTCACTTGCCCTCTGTCTTCCTGGGGAGTCTGCAGTTAGTGACTGTGAAAACAGACTATTCAAAAGGAATGAAACATTAGTTCTAGGCTGACCAATCTCAGAAACAACTACAAATAGCATCAAGTTGCTGTTGCGTTGTGAGTTATTGCAGTGGCAGATTCTCTTCTTAATGAAAGGAGACAATTTATAGTCATGTCTCTTGGATTTGGTGACAGTGGTGAAGGTTCCAAGTGACCCCATGTCCTGCCTGCCCAGAGCAGCTGTGCTCTTGCCATTTCTCATTCAAAGACTCCTTTAAGATAACCTGATTTCTTGAAGAGCCTAGTTGAAGCTCACTTGGCGTGGGGTACCATATCAAACATGGACATGAAAAATGTTGGCATCTTCCAGCAGCATAGCCCTGGTCTACAACAGCTGAACTAGCAATAGACAGAGTCGTTGGGTTTCTTTTCTGGGGGTAAGGGAGGATGATGGTGTTTTCTTAGCATCATCTAGCTAAAACAAACAAAACAACAAACAGACAAAAAGTAACAGTGGTTTGTTTTCCTTAGATATTATAATAATCTAAGATACACAGACCTAAGGGGGAAATTTCCTGGAGCAAAAATCAGTTGCCACGGGAGATTACATTCAGAGTTTTCTGTGATC